CATTGCGATTGGCTCAGGAAGAGAAAAGACGACAACAAATGGCAGTTCCAGGAATACTTAATCCGCACGAAATACCAGAAGAGATGCAGGACTGAATTACCAGTCGTCTTCGTAACTTGCTTCCTCCACATCTCAATGAGAAACATTCTGTTACAGAGACTATCGTGTCTTTTGATCTGCAATTTCCCCCACAACATGTACCACGACTGCCATCAAAACGGATACACATTATTATATACTTTTTAAAGCGACGTTTACAATATAACATTCTTGTTAAGGAGGTAAGCCCGAAACGTGGTAATTGTTTGTCTGTTATGCGATTTTAATAGAATTAAAAACTTCTGTTGTGGGTAACAAGTGAGTGTATGCTGAAAAATACTATTTAATGTAATAGAAATAATTTTTCAATACCAGTATTTAATAAAAAAAAATTACTACGAATTTTAACAAGGTATTGGTTGCACTTTTTATATATACATATATATATTGTACCTATGTGATTCACATCTGTCTAAAACATTTATATAAGTTATGTTACAAATCCCATTCAATTGTAGTTATAATTAACTGATAACTGTACTGCAACAGAATTAAATTTAAAAGTGCATAAAATGCTGTTTTCGAAAGTACATATTATGCATAAAATAGTATTGTTTCAGCAAATTTAGAAGATGTTACACGTATATGTGTGTTTTTATCTGCATAAAGTTGTACGATAATGCTATTATTACTATATATAGATATATAGATATATAGATATATAGAAATATAGAAATATAGATATATATGATACATTGCAAGTCATATGGAGGAATTTTGTAAATTAAACGAAACGTCACACATCGCATTTGTTTAGGCTTCACTTTTCTGATAATCCCTATGTATTCATAGATTGGTTATAAAATACGTTCAGGGTAAAACAGTATATATTTTGTTATATTTAACAAATACCATTAAATCGGTGAAACAAATATTCGAAAGATCTGGTTTCTTTCAATGTGTCAATGTATATTCTGCTCTTTCTTGACAAAACGTTTTGCAATTGAAATAATACACGTAGATATTTTAAATACTTCACTCTATGGGAAAACTATTGTCAGTATTCATATCAATTGATACAAAATTTTTGTCTTTTTTCCACTTTGCATTATTTCCTTTAATTTGTAATATCCGAATCAGCTTCTCAAATGTAGATGTGTATCTGCTTCCACTTTTCTAAGTGGAATGTGAACTGCTTCCACTTTTCCAAGTGGAATGTGAAGTATTTGACTGAATATAGATAAAAAGAAAATAGTAAAACATATTTTCCATAAGTGTTGTATCCTTTTTACAATGTGCAGTATAGTATTGTATTAGAGAAGATTCAATGTTATTCGAAGTTTCAAGTTTTTAAAATTGATTTCAGATACTTATATTTGCACTTCTCTGTTACTTTCTGTTTCATAGTTATACAATTTCGTACAACGATCCCTAAATTTTACAAGTACTGGAATCCGAACAACAAAGAAAGGCAAAATTTTTTTATCGTTCGAGCTTGCCTCCGCCAAAATAAACGCTACAGGTGCTTTACGATTTACAAATCACAAATAATTTCGATGCATGGTAATACGACTTAATACGTATCTAACATTGGTACATGGTCTATAGAGAAAAACTGTGAAGGTAGTAATGACTAAATAAACATTAAATAAATTTAATTAAAGAAAACAGAACTCCGTATGAAAATGTGACTTTACAACAAAGTAGCTGCCAGAAACGCTATGCGTTGTTCACAAGTTAAAAAATTGTTTCTCGCGATTCATCACATTGAATAGTTTCTATTATGCAACAAAGTTTTTCATTCATTGTCAGCGATTTTCAGTCGAAGGAATACTAGCTGTATCTTGACTTTTTTTACGGAACGAGAGTGGGAATGATAACCGATGTCGCCTCAGAAACGTAACAGATGCACGTACCGCTACTGCATTTCAATGAGAACATCAACGATTTGTATCATATAAAATGAATCAATGAGAGTAGCTCTGCTTGGAACCTTGAAGCCATTACATTTGATACTATGCGACTCGGGTCTCAAGCTAGGCCGCTATAACTGCAACAGAAATGGATCGAAAAGAAAAAAAAAGAAAGGACGAAGAAGAATCCAATGTAACTTGGTTTCATTGTTCTTCATTAGTAGGCTGTATTTATTTGCAACCGGTATTGCAAACAAAAAAGAAAGAAATTTGACGGCATTTTTTTCACACGATTTGTGGTGTACTTTGTAAACTTTTATTGCAAGCAAGAAAAAAAAAATTATTTGTATGAATAGATGTAATAAGTTACAAAATGTATTTAGTCATACATAGTTGTATGTGATAAGACTACATGTAATGAGGAAAGTGCTTAAAAAGTCGTAAGATATTGAAGTAATAATCGTATCTAAAATAAAGCTGCAACTAAATGTTTTATAAGCTGTTCGTTTGTTATAAGAGAGTCCTAAATTTAGCAAGAAATTTTTACGGTATAAGTAATTTTGGACGTAAATAAGTACAGCTAAGACAAAAACATGATACGATGCGTGTGCCCTTTTCTGTTTTCTTTTTTAGTTAAATATCTGATTATTCACTGACCGGAATGTATTTTCTAGTGAAATAGCAAACGAAAGGAACAGCATTTTTCCAAATGAGTATTAAACGAGAGAAACATAGCGAACGATATAGAAACCGAAGATACACGTGTACAAGAGGCAACTAATATTGTGTACTTTATTATTATTTAAAAAAAAAAATTGCATTCAAACTTTAATTTGATCATGAATAGATGAAATCTAATCAATTTGTAATGTCTGTTACAAGATATTTGAACACTGCAATTTGCTTTCTGGTTAGTACACAGTAAATAGAAAAATACTTTAATACCTACGTTTAGGGTTGCAATATATCAATATAGGTTTTTTTAAACGAAATATAACGAAAAGAAGGTCTCTCGCTCTCCATAGAATTTTGTTTAACTTGGAGAGATGTTAACAAACAAATTTTGTAAGTTGCTGAGTGATGGCATTAATCTTATAAGTTGTCGGGGATCATATGACATAGTGTGAGTACTGAGTACATAGTTATGGAATGGTCTGTCACGCATGTTTGAATGAATGGATGTGTAAGTTAAAAAGTTCTACCAGTTATTCATTATAACGACAAAAATATGTAAAGAGTTTAATAATACTTACTAATAAAATAAAAAATGCCACTATAATAACTCTTTGTACCTTCGATAAAATTGTCACGTGTAAACAGTTAGTATTTACTTAAGTAAGTATATACATAAACATAACTCTCGCTGTTACTTGTATCACTTTCTACCTTCACGATCTTGTTTTGTATATTATCACAATTTAGAAATTTCATTAAGATTTTGTCACACAAAAATATACTTATCATGTACATTCTATATTTATTCTCATTAAAACATTTTTATGAATTTATGTTTATTTTCTATTTCGGATTCAGATCCGAACACATAATATCAGTGTTTTGCTGACGCTAATACATTACTAATAATATAATTAAGTCAAATAAAGTATTTAAGTAAGGATAAAAGATTCAAGTATGATCAGATTTGAAATTTAAATTGAACCGTTAATGTAAATACCTCCTGTGGTAAGACCAACTACCGGGGTTCTGTGACCCCACGATCTCACCACGCGGGGTCGCTGGCGCCTCCTGCTGGGGCTCTGTGACCCCACGTTCTCGCCACACGGGGTCTCTGGCGCCTACTGCGGGGGCTCTATGACCCCGCGTTCTAACCACGCGGGGTCCCTGGTGCCTCCACCGGGGCTTCTATAACCCCACGATCTCACCACACGGGGTTCCTGGCTTACTACAGTAACTAACTACTGCCTACGTCTTTTAAACTTAGGCTGTAGTAGTATCTGCAGAAACTGACATGGTTGCTGGGGTTACTATATAATTTGCTGACGGGAAATGTATAACGGGAAATAAAACTTGTAATGATATTTATATAAATTCAAAAAAAACTAGGCTTAGATATTACTCAGGCTTATAAAATATTGTAACTTATATGCCGCAAATAATTCCCTCCCCTGTAACTTGCAAATCTTCTGTTCTGATGAACTTGTAGTAGCTTGGTAAGAAGGGTCATTGAACCCCCGGTGCATGCGAAGAGACCCCGTGTGTGAGATGTATGGGATGTATGTATGTACGTATTTATTTATCATGTCATTTTATATTACGTATTCGTATTGGTTTATACATACGTTTAAGACGGGGTCTCTTACAGATGCTCCGGGGGTTCTATGACCCCAGTTTCTCAGCTACTACCACCTTCATCCCTACCATAAGACCGCGCTCTCTATTATATATGTCCATGAGACAGACGGTCTAGATGGTCTGGATTTTACGTTATTTGTGTTACATGAGAAAGAACCAGTTGGGGAGTTGGGGATGGTTAGGGAAAATGGCTGACGATGCGTTTGGTCATGTTTTGTCAATTTTACTTCTTTGATCATATTAGTTCATATGCAGTGCGTTTTGTTTTCAAGTATGGTTTTAATTGTATTGTGAGATAAATACTTTGTTCAGAACTGAAAATATTTATCTAGTAGCGTGTCTCAATCGATCAAGAAAGCTCTGTCAAAACTTGTCTGAAAATGTTTTCAGTTGCTATCGTTGCTACCATTATAAGCGCTTGAAAAACTTTAGTAGTAACGTCTCTGAGGAAATTGTTGCTAGACTTCTTCTTTGAATTACGAAATAAAGAATACTGTGGTCACTTATTATTAATATTCAGCTTTGTGTATAAATAATAAGTTATACTGATGGAAAACATTATTTACAAATTATAATTTCAAAAATAAGATGTTTCACTAAGTTTTAAAGCAATACACTTTGTTTTAGATAATCAAAAACATTGCATTGATTGACAACTTGTATGATATAATGTAACAATATTGCATAATATGAAAGTATTTATGATGTTTCTATAAAAGAGAGATAAGAGTGATATACTTTTGAGGCAATAAGATGCCTTTTGGTCCATTTAATAATGGGACAGCATTTCGCTAGTCTCAGAGAATTTTTTAGAATGGATGGTGAACGGCAGTCTTCTGAAGTATGCTCCAGTGTTATTCAGCACTCAAGATTAGATATGATGAATCAGGATGATGTAGAGAACATGCATGATGATGCAAATAACGGAAATGTACCTGCATTAAACTCAAATTCAATATTACATGGAGAATGCAAGATGCATGGGATTTTGGACAATGACAGATTAAATTTAGAACTGGATAATCATAATTCTAAATTTGAAACATTATATAGTCAACCTATTGAAACTCAGGATTCAAAGCAAATTTGTAGCAATGGAAATGTTACTAGCGAGATACATTTCAAGCAACAGGAAGTATGTTGCAGTAGTTCTGAACGTAGTAATAATAGCAGTAGTTCAGAAGATAGTCCTGTAAACCCTCCTTTAAGGAGATCTTCTAAAACCTTATCATTTGGAAAACGCAAAAGTAAGGAAATGAACCTTTTGTACTTCTCCATTCATATTTATTTAGTACATTGGGAGTGCCGGTTTCTAACTTACATGAATTTTTTTTAAATGTGTATAGGCAAACAGCGTAACAAGGATCAGAACCCTGCATGTACTCATGTTTTATCTTCTAAGAAGAAGAGGAGTAATTGGGTACTGAAATTTAATTGCGCCAAGAGTAAAGCTTCTAAAAGCACTGACATTATTCCCAGTCATGGAAATACTAGTTCAGAATGCGTATGCACTGGTTATAGAAGAACTGGAGAGCATTCTGTTGGAGCTGGTGTCGTGCTTAATAGTCAGTCGGCTCCGCAAAGTCCAGTGCTAGGTCCCCTTCCACCTAGTCCTGTAATTGATCTTTCAAGAATCTATCCAGAGGAGTTTCCCATGGAAGTGAGTGTTGTTGTTTATTCTAAATAAATGTAATTTTATAGTCATAACAAATACCATTATTTGGATATATTTTGTTGTAGGATTGCGATGAAAGAGCTCGACTGCAACGTGCACGAGAAATGGAGGAAGGTGTTGAACCTCCTCCTGGTTATAAGCCTAATTCATCAGACATACAAGTACATGCAAATGGAATAACAGTAGACAGTTTAGCGGCCTTATTTCAAGCCCATGCCGGCATTCATGCTGCTGCCCTCACGGCATTGTCTCAGATTGATTTTACGTTAATTCCAAACATCGAAAGACCTGCGCATACACAGGTAAGTGCATCAAGTTTTTTGTCTGATAACTAAATGTTTAATAGTAAATTAAGTTGGTGTATGTTTACATATTTACAGGTCGATTATGTTCATTGCCTTGTACCAGACCTCAGGTCAATTACAGCTTGCTCCTTTTATTGGGGTAAAATAGATAGATACGAAGCGGAACGTTTGTTAGAAGGCAAACAAGAAGGCACGTTTTTGTTGCGGGATTCGGCTCAAGAAGAGTTTCTCTTTTCTGTGAGTTTTCGAAAATATGGACGTTCTCTGCATGCGCGAATCGAACAATGGAATCATAAGTTTAGTTTTGATTCACACGATCCAGGAGTTTATGCCTCGGAAACGGTATGTCGTCGAAATTTTCTTCTAAAGAAGAGAAAACAATACGGGATGCTCAAACCTATTAGCCTTTGTATCTCTTCCAGGTATGCGGTTTAATCGAACATTATAAGGACCCTTCTTGTTGCATGTTCTTTGAACCTATGCTCACAATACCATTGCATCGAAATTTTACCTTTCCGTTGCAACACTTGTGCCGAGCGGTAATTACTACACGAACAACATACGACGGTATAAATAAACTGCAGTTGCCAAAGACACTTAAAAGTTATCTTAAGGAATACCATTACAAACAAAGAGTACGCGTTAGGCGATTGGACACTGAAAACGATTTGCAGTCAGATGGAAGATCCATATCATATTTACCTTTAATATGAGTCTCTGTATTCATGTTCAATAGAACTATCATACGTTACCTTATTAATTTTCCACTCGAATCTACCACTTTACTATAGTCAGCATATGTGCAGTACTGGGACCAACGTCACTGCATGCATACGAATTGTCTATACTTTCAAGAAAAATATTTATTAAATGTACGCGTGTGTTGCAAAATTTAAAGAGTAACTTTTTTTGTAATACTATCCGTCCCTTATTCTTTTTCATTTTACGTTCTTAGTATGATAATGTTTTTCTTCTAATAGTACAAGTTTGCGATTGTATTTGCATTCCAACAATTTGGATCCACTATTGTCGTATGCACAGTATTATAGTGTCAAGGATAGAAATTCTGTTCAAATTTTCTCCTTAGAAAACGATTGCAATATTAGTAACTAAACCATACATATTCTACGTAAAAAGGAACAGTAGATTACTTTAAACAATAGCTATCATTTTAACTGTATCAACATTTGCATCACAAATATTGCATAGATTGTTTTGGAAAGAACATGTAAATATAGTACAATGGCTGCTTGAGATACACAATATATTATAAGTTTTATATATTTTAGCGATAAAATTTTTATTCTGTTTCTCAACATTTAGCTGTAACATAGTGTTTTATCAATGTTCATATATAATTTGGTTCATATTTTTATCGTATTCAGGGAGAATTGTAATCCCAGAATCAGGAAGTATTGTTACGTAGTATAGTGATTGATTTTTTTCAATTAAAAGAAATAAAATTTGTGATTCGTGCAGCACCTGTTGTGCCTACTTACATGCGAAATGTCATTAGTGAAGAACTGTGTTCGTGTTCGTTATTATTATTAAATATAATGAAAATTACAAAATTGTCTGTGTACATGTTATTACCTACAACCTTGATACAATAATTATCCAATGAGTGCGTGTCTTAAAGTTCTAAGGAACTATAACAAAATTATTGCTTTAATCGAAAAAATACTTTTAATAAAACCCTGTATGTTGAAATACAAAATACACAAGAATACGTAAGTAACTATTTGTATATAAGTAATTATTAGTTTTTGGGGGAAATAACAGTCAGTATTATTTATATGTTTTATATGCATATGTATTTAAAGTTTGATATGTTATATAAAAAAAATTACGTTGTATGTGCAGCGCATGGCGACATAATTTACATAAAATAGCTTGATGCACATTTGGTACATTGGAACGTATTAATAACTTTGAAATTACACATGATAAATCGTTATACGACACTGCGTTGTGTATGTAATGTATACTGCAGAACTTGTAGTAATACTTTATAATTAAACAGAAAAAATGAGAAGAAGAGTGCAATTAGAAATATATCTATGTTAATGTAAGAATTAATATAGGTAGTTCGTTTTTGGAATATGTTTGTCAACTTTTGGTAGGTTTACATTTTTTCTCTAAAGGATACTGATAAATTTTCTTTCCCACTTTTCAACCATATATAATTCCGTAACGAGCATATATCTGAAGTACCAGTATTCGAGAAATGAAAATAATTTGTTTAGCGAATTCATCATAACGGTAAACATTCGTGAAATGACTAAATTGGACTAAATCGAAACAAGATTAACAGTTAGGTTATTTCCACGGATTAGTCATCCGTGGCGTGTTACTTCATAGAATATATAGTATGTATACATACTGATACATACTTCGTATAGACACGGTCGTATACAGTCGTCACTGATCTACAGAGAGAGATATACAGATCAGGATGTAATGCCTCCACAAAGCGTAGGAGTAACCCCCACCAACCGCCCCATTCGAAAGAGAGGAAAGTTACTCCAGTTACTGTCCTCTCTTTCTAGTGCCTACTTCATCCGTACAATAAGACCACGCAGTCTATTATATAGAGTCATAATATGTCTATGCATGAGGTGGGTTGTACGTGGTTGTACGCCGAATACTCAAGCTACACATACTTATATACCAAATTTTTAAAAAGAAGACCTGCAATCACATTTTTTAAAAATTGGAAATGGATAATCGATCGATCGATCAAGGTGTTTTGTATTATCGTAAAAGAACATGTAATAATAGTGTGGTAACGTAACGAGAACGAGCAAATTATTTTTATTAATCTCGACAGATGCACTGTTTTATGTGCGACCCCAAAAGGGACCACATTAAGAAAGATTCTTAAGTATGAAATCGTTGAAGTTTCTCAATGTCTTCTGCATATCCTCGTATGTAACTACGGAACAAGCTTCTTCGAGCGGTAGCCACTTGAACGCCTGATGTTCGTGCGACAATTGGATAGGTTTATCGCTGTTCAGTAGCTCTGCCAGCCAGTAAATGACAATTTTTGGTTTTTCATTGACTAAATAGTTTAGTTCTTGTTTCGCGTCTTCGAAGATTTTGAGATCGGTGGTTAACAAGCCTGCTTCTTCTTTCGTTTCGCGTATTGCGGTTTCCATGTCCGATTCGCCGGGATCTACGTGTCCTATAAGATAAGGGCAATGGCTACAATCCCCGATTCTGGCGATCACATTTTTGTAAATGAAGCAGAATTATCGTTTCGCTATTTGAAACTGGAAGCCGCTCGATCCAGGTACGCGCGAATTATGGATGTTTTTAATCTTCTAATGGTTATGTATGATGATCGGAGAATAATTATGGTCAGCGAAAGAAACGGTAAAGGAGTTAAATAGGTACAAACCTTTTGGAGGTGTCCAATGATGTTCCCCATATGAAGTTTGCATCAGAAGGTACTCGACCATCCCTTGGATTCGACGGAATACAACGAAACCACAAGCGCGACGTGTCATTGTATTTATTTTGATATAAAATTAACGGATTACTTAACGTGGTCAGAGCGTGCGGTACAAAGTAGTAAACAAACCACGAACGAGATATGTATGGTAGAAGTAATCGGCAAAATCGCTATGTAATAAGGTTATCCCTTACCGATCGTACGATGTTGTTTCAAGTTTGTTTCGGGACAGATCGCGAAGTGTAGATATAATGTAGATTATTGTAAATATAGGTGAATCGGATGAATCTCTGGCTGGAGGGGTCGAGAGGCAAGCCACCTGCGTGTCGCGACCGTAAATATGTCATCGGTAGGTTACTCCCGCTGAGTGGTCTACGCGTGCTGTTGTGTCTGTGGTTATCTGTGAGACAGAGCGAGAACTCCCGCCGAAGCCTCTCTGCATCCACTTGGATAAAGTGAGATTTCGGCAAGAGTTCTTGCTCTGTCTAACAAGTATCCACAGAAACGCGTAAACCGCTCAGCAGAAGTAACCTCAAGTAACTTACGGACGACTTATTTATGGTCGTGGCACTTGAACCACCCTCCACAACCGCCATGATAGAGCGATCGCGCTGCCGCCTATAGTCGCTTGAGTTTGCGAATTAGATAGGCCGTATATCTTCGAAGGTCTCGTACTGTCTCATACAATCGTTATGGAATTCGATATGATTTAATGGTCACGAATATTTGATCCTACTTTCTTCATTCTTGTTTTTCCGATTTAGGTACTTAAAAGAGTATTGCGCAGATATTATGTACGTATAATTTTCTGGTAAACGAAACGTTTAAGATTAATTTCCTCGAAACTTACATACAACTGATGGTTATCAGGGGCGTTAGAGTTTGTTTCTTTTTATCACGCAATATGACATCTTTGTAAAAATTACTTAAAATTGTCAGTACAATTGAACAAAAAATAATGTTGATTACAAACAAAAGGAAATACTATTAGAATAAGTATAAAATGTTGCTTGCACAACTTTGAAGGAAATCTCAGTTGGAAAACAATGTTTGTTAACTTTTTATTAGAAATGCGTCTGCTACATTTTGTTGGTTAAATACCGATCACCAAAAAACACATATAGTAAAGCTATATCTACAAATTGTCGGATGCATTGCACGTGTGACTGGTGCGTGTACATATGTATATATGTATGTGTCCGTGTGTACATAGGTATACGTATACGTCGTGTACAGATTTGGAATTTCTTCATGTTTTTCTCACTTTACTATTTCTATAGAAAAATGGGAAAAATTGTTTGCGGCCGGCGCAAACAATGTGTCCTCTGCCTTTCAAAAGTATTCTGCTCTCGGTCGTTTAGTTTTGGGTTCAGATTCATTTAAAGTTTTCTCTAAATGCAGTTCCTTTTTCACAATTATTGATAAGAAATTTTTACATTTATCGTACTAAATAAGCAAACGGCGCACGGTCGAACAAACGATAGGTGCCCGTCTTTGTGAATATTATAGATATACGTATATGTGTGTATGTGTGTGTGGCTTTGTTTGTATGCTATATATGGATGTATACACTGTTACAGCATAGAATCGTTTTTTCCGTCCATTTTTATTTTACAGACGGAAACGATCAACGCTATCGTAGGGTTTTATTTTCTGTAACATGAATTCGTAATTCCTATCGTAAAGATAAACTTTTCTACACCGTCGTGTTGATTTTAATAGTGGCGATTCATATTTTAAATTATACATATGTATGCATACCAATTTTGGATTTTGCGTTCAGACGTGTATCTAATCGCCGTTAACAGACATAAAGACGATACTAAAAAGTTTTAGTATTCGTGCGTTTGTTCGTTTCGGTTCCGTTTGTTTGTTTTTCCTTTGTGGAAGGGGATCGATGTAAGAGGAATTTTTCGAGTGTTACTATGCATGATTGTGTCCAGTTCGACGAGCGATAGGTATCTAATTCAAAATCGTAAACAGAAAACGGAGCGAAGCAGCTCTGTGGACAATTCACTAGGAGGGGGCGGGTAATCGGTCCGTGTGTTTATCGCACGAGGGATGAATGAACAGGTTTTCTCTAAGCCTTGATACCTGAAACCCCACATACAATTGCCACGCTCGACTGAAAATGTTTTCTCAGTTATCTCCTGTGCAGAAAAACAACTCGGATTCGGGACGTGTCGAACAGTCGAGGGTACTTAAGTGCTAGTATCAGTCGTTTGTCGATTCCCAAACAGATAACACATTGGAGGAGCACGCGTCGAGAGCAAGTATGTACTCGGGTGGATCGAGATGTTCCTGCTTGGTGTTTGGTATGTATGTATGTACATACGTATGCATGCGCGCGCAAAAAGCCCGTTAATGTTAGAAACGTGAAAAAATTATTCGAGTTCCGTATTTATTTAAATAAATTAATCATTGCCTATAAGTAATTTTACTCGATTAATCTTAGGCAAATATAAAAAATTTGCGTTACTCGAATCCCAAGGTTCCATTCGTTTGTTTAATTTCTGTTTTCTTCGGCATGGTCTCCTTCCATCTCTTCAGTTACTTCTTTTTTCTCGTCTATCATTTTTTATTCGTGTTCTTGGTGTGTGAGGCTTCATTTATTTGGTTAATTTAGTACCTTCGTATATTATATTATTTATATACACCAAGTCTCTCTAGATCGCCTCTACATTTACAATAATTTCTAATTTAGTTTCATTCAACCGCGAATACATTTGCGAATAAAAGGTTAAATAGCATAATAGTGTATAGCCAATTATAATACTTAAATATAATCTTACATGGTATCTTTCGTAGAAACAACAGATCTCATTATCGATGATGTCGTGCACGCGTGCGTATTTGTTAGGTATACTCCGATATTTTTTCGGAGCAAAGTACTTGCGTTTTACTCGAACGAGTTACGAGTACAATCGCTCGACGACGATAATTCCTAAACAATGTTAAATTATAGCGGTCCTCTTCTCCTATTTCCATCGATCTCGTTTAATATTGTGTCTTAATATTATTATGTACGATGCATAAAAATAAAAATAATAATAGTTGTGTACTAATAATAATGATGATGATAATAATAATAATAATAATAATAATAATAATAATAATAATAATGATGATCATGATGGTGGTGATATGATAATGATGGATGATGACGATGATGCTTATGATGCTGATGCTGATGACGATGGCGACGACGATGATGATAATAATGATAATAATGATAATAATAATAATAATAATCATTACGCATTAATTAATCGGCTAATGTCTGCAGGATTGCATAGCTTTAAACTTATGATATAAAAAAGGGTAAAGCATTGTAAAAATATTCGACAATGTAAATGTTCTGCGCGCGAGCTCAAATACGTTCGCGACCTATTTAAACGGCTGAATCCTTTAAACTCTCAATGGATGATCGATTAATGTGTGACGGTAATTTCTTTAAGGGTACAATTCTACGGGTTCCTTTACGGATTTCCCGACAAGAATGATCGGTGATTTACAGACAAACTTGTTGCTTCTCTGAATGTTCTTTACGCGTGTGAAAGGTAGTACGACGAGGCAACGTTTCCAAAAGGACTTTTAACGTTGTAGGTTCTTAGTACGCATAATACGCGCGTTCAGTGATGATATTTACCGTAACACGGTAAAACTATGTTCTTCTCCGAAGAAGTACACGTTTCCTTCACCATTATTCTTTCCACACCGTACCGTACCGCACTGTATCGCACCGCACCGCACCGCACCGCACCGCACCGCAACTGCACCGCACCGCACCGCACCGTACCGCACCGTATCGTATCGTATCGTATCGTATCGTATCACACTACTCCATCATCTCTTTCATTTTGTGAAAAAATTTGCGTTTCATTAATTACGTATCATTAGGCACAGTTGAAATACAATGAAATCGTATCTCCCGTTACATCGTTTGAAACGCCCAAATTTTTTAGCGAGAAGAAGGAAAAAAAGGAGGGATCGCGAGTACTCCGTTGGCGAATGGATGATTGACTCGAGTTACATGAAACAATTATATTTCTGTTTCAACATGGACAGAGGTGTAGAACAACGAGACGATCGTTTCGAATAAATAATACTGTAAACGCGATACGTCGTGACTTTGTAACGATCGTGTCTGATCATCGGTGTATACGCGGCACGCAAGATTCGCGAGGTTTCCTGCGTAAGTTTCAGATGATTACTACAAATTTTCAATGGCAGAATAGAACGAAGAACGTTACATTACCAATAGGAAGTTCTATTGCAGAGGGCTACGGTACCCTTTCGTGCATTTGCGCGCATCGAAGAGCCACGTGTACGGTGGATGCGAGAGCAATCGTAACGTACGAGCTAGGTTCGTTACTCATTCGTTTAGTTCGTTGCATGCTTTCTCCGGCGTGCAGAACGAATACATATTACAATTCCAACTTACGATCGCTGATCGTCCCATTCCCATCTTTTCCTTCTTTTCCTCGTTTTTCCCCTTTCTTCTCTGTTTGGTAAACGATCATCACGTGCACGCAAACTCCCTCTGTCTTTCCCACTCATTCCATTTTTTTCGTCCATTTCTTCGGTCTCGCGACGAGACCATAATTCGAAAAGCCGACCTAGTTCCAATTTGGCACTCGGGAGTATTTAAATAACATGAATACGCGTTCAACCATTAGAGATCACAGTGTCCCAGCAACGGGTTTCCCATGACCACGATTCGTACGATCCTGGATTGACTTCCGTCGTTCGACTGGGACTGTAACGGGAAATTGTCAAACAAAGATTTCTCGGGTATCGGAATCAAAATCGGAGTTGGAGTCGAAGTCGGTGTTGGAATCGGAATTGGAATCGGAGTTGGAATCAGAATCGGAGTCGGAGTCCAAGTCCCAGAAGAAGGAAGAATAGAAAACGTTGTCGTGGTCGCCGATGGCTGCGAGGAGTCCGTGCGATAGGTCTGTAGGGCGTTATGGGTTGGCGCGGGCTGCTATGGAGCCTGTCGTCGGCAGTCACAGCTTCAGTTCGTTCGCTATCTTGCTGGCAATATTTTTAAAACCAATCGAGGTGCCTGAGATGCGTTTGAAACGTACGCCGTTCAGCGAAAGTCGTGGCAGTTTACAAACTTCGATTTCCCATTGTACTTGACTGTCTGTCGCCGCGTCGCCGTGCGCGCACAGCAGCAGGAAGCTTTTACGCATGGCGTCCAGTACCTAAAGCGATCGACAAACCGTTAGTAAACAATTTACTTGCTCTCCTTTCGCGTATCTTTCAGAGCGTAGACTTTGATCGGACAAGTTTCGTTACGATCAGTTCGCCGCGTATCGGTACTTGTCGAAAGAAAAAGGAACGCAAAGCTTTTACGATGGTTTTAGAGCAATACCTTTCGAATTTCGGACATGATTTCATTCGGATCTCGACTACTGGTGGTTTTCATACTCCAAGTGAATCGTAGACTGCGTGGTTTAACCTGCTCATCGTTAGTGGTTGCTCCGCTGTAACAAAAGAATGTTTTAAATCCGCACATTCGAGCAACACGCCGAACATGCGACAGACGTATTCACTAGCATCGTATTCGATTCTACCGTATCGGTGTCGGTATTGGTATTGGTATCGGTATCGGTATCGGTATCGGTCTGTGTGCCTTCGTAGTCGTGTACACTAGGTTTATTTAGCAAGCTGTTGATGATAATCGATGATTTGAAGGGTGCAATGTAAAACGTGAAATGTCACATACATGCATAGGTACGTGCAATTTGTGCCGCATACACACGGAGAAATTTGCAGGAAAGTCTTAATCCTGGGGACTGTTAGTTGTGGAAAAATGTTCGTAATATCGCGATAAATATATGTATGTATATAGATATACATATATATATACACACACACACACACACGATCCTACGCATCCGTAGAAATAATCTCACACTACCTCCTCGAAAACGTTTCATGGTTTATATCTCTGTCGCGATGTAATCCAAGTGGTTACGTACATCACCCGTTAGAAGAAAACGTTGGAAAAGCCGTAAAAAACGGGGGAAACACGAAGCATATGTAAAAGCGAGTGCGTCGCATTTATGCAGTCGTGGCAGAAACTTGTTACGATAATCCCGATGATCCATGAACGCGTGATCTTTTGCTTTCCGTTGTTTCTTCGATAAAACGAACAATTTCTTGATTATCGTCGTCGTCGTCGTCGTTGTCGTCGATATTGCATTGGTATACTATGTATCCGTATTGTATCGTTCTTCGCTCGTTGAACATTTTGCGAGTTTCGCTTTGCAGAAACAGACGTACATGGTCGTTACTTGGTACTGTCGTTTAGCGATCCGAAGCGTCCAAAAATACATGGTTAAAGGTTACAAGAATTCAAAGAGAACGTACGCAAAATTTAACGTGTAGGTACGCAAGAAAGTAATGAAAAAAAAAAAAAAAAAAAAAAAAAAAAAAAAAAAAAGAAAAAAAAAAAAAAAAAAAAAAAAAAAAAAAAAAAAGTATAACGAATGAGAAAAAGAAATGTAACGAAAGAACAGAACGGAGGAGCAGAATGAGAAATTAGAGCGCATGGATCGTGGTATTATGGTATGCAGCAACGTACCTCACTACTGGGTGCTTGGGGGGTACGGATGGGTCCGTGGGGCTGAAATAACAAAACAAAGGCAGTTGCTAACAAACACTAAACATGATAAATCATCGAATTAAATTGAATTTATACGTGTAACCACCACCATTCTATCACCATTGCACACCTATTGCGAAACCGTAAACAATTACGGTTACGATGGAACACGAGGTTGTACAGCGGCAGCGATTGCGATTACGATTACGATTACAATTACGAATACAAGGACAAGACGTGATAGTTTGTGAAAGTTTCATAAAACGATCGTTACACTCGATTCATCGATTCGATCCTAAACAAAAAGACGAAGGTTAGCGTTTACAGGGAGACATTTCGGGATAAGCGCTTTGGCAATCGCCCTACCTGACGCGCGAGTATTACGACCGAGAGAAATATTCGCGTGACATATCTATCGTACGAAAGAAACCAGTCCATGACACACATGTACGGAGAACGCATGCACGAATAAAGCGAACATTCCACAAAATACGTCGCCGCGTGACGGGTAGGTCGCAGCACAGAATTTAACTCGCATTATTTCTAATGCATTTCTTTCCACCAAATGCGTTACAGCATAACAAATGCGATGCGTTATTATGCTGAGCCAAACGCGGCAAAATAATTTCTTCGTATCTATTTTGAACTGTTCCTCCTTCTTCTTCTTAATTGTTTTCAACATTCACGTATGTGCAATACTGTGATCCCTCGATCCGTTGTGCGGTGACGCTTTTGGTGGGATCTCCGATTAACGCGTGAAACGGTTTACCTTCTCGCTCGAGAAAACCACTTCTTTTCGATAGAGGATTCAGAAATAAATTGATACCACATATACAAGACAGTTTCAACATGTTTATTAATACGAAATTATTACTATTATTGCTTCTTAAAATTACTTTAAATAATATTTCTATTCTGTTTTCTACGTGCTATTTACTGCCCTCCAGTTCGTAAGAATTCAAGGCAGACGCTGTCCAAGGTGATATTCCATCGATCGATTGTGACTCTCTCTCTCTCTCTCTCTCTCTCGCTGCGAAATGTTCACTGTCGCGAAACAAAAATCAAGAAAGTAGAAAAACGGTGTTGGAAACGCGTGGACGGGCGTAGCATTGGAGCGCAGCAAACGGCGTTAAACAATTTACAAATGCGCTATCGTCATATACGTAGTAGCGTATATCTTTTCCTTGTCCGTTTTCTGTGTTCTCTTTCTCCGGTTAGTTCGCTTGGACACGGTTTTATAGGGGATCGGACGAGCGGCATCGAAGTCGCTTGTCATTTCTACGCTTCTTTCTCGTTTGTTGGAGCGTGAGGTGCGCGTTAAAACGTTAGTTGTTTATTAGCTGCGCGCGGCATCCGTAATCTCACGCGCATTTTCTTCGGCATTTTTCACGTGCTTGTTCTCGTTCTTGTTCTTGTGTCTTAGACTAGTCTTGTACTCTACGCCGATCCGCCGCGTTCACGCATCCTTCCTATCTCGTCGCCGAGTAAAGGGAATTAGGGAGTGGGATAGGTGAGGTAATATGTCTTTTGGTAAGAAAACGACGCGTTTTAGAACGATATATGTACCTATATATGTATGTATGTATGTACGTATCTATGTATGAATGCTGCATGTATGTATGTATGTATGTATGTATGTATGTGTGTGTGTGTATGCTTCGCAACGTGTCGGAGAGAATCGATTACAAAGAAAATCCTACGATCGACGATCATCCTGATAAATTAGATCGTTATAAACGAACGCGGAAACCAGAGAGATCCGTATCACGGTGCAGTTGGAAATAAATCGTCGATATAAGGTGCGTGCGCTCGCGCTTATTCGTCTCTCCGCGTTACAAAATTTTTCCCGGGTTCCGCATCTCTTTCTTATAAATAATAATTAGATGGACAATTATTTTATTGATTCGGCGCATTGCATGCTCTCTACGCACCGACCGGATGGATCATCATCGTTCTACGCTACGTTTTCGCCGTTATTCTTCAGAAAACTATGATGATTCGGCGACGTCGTCTTTTCTCGTTCCATAGTTTAGGAAAATAGCATTTGCGCGTGAAATATATGTACAATATCAAAAAGAGGAAGGCACGTAGTTTCGATAACGGGTTCTCCGGTCTCGTGCAAGATTCGAGTCCGTTCGGACGAAAGATTGATCGTGAGCTACCAATGTACCAATACTCGCGCATCCTACTGGGTATTACGCATCAGCATCGCTACTAACGGTAAGAAGACAATGCTGTTTCCTTAACGTTTCCCGCAGGTCGTCGTTAATCTTTCCGTATTCCTCACGGAACAAACCGCTATCTACGAAGCAACCGATCGAGACGAAAATTATCGCGAGTTCGTCGAACGTGTCGACAAAATTACTTGCCTCCATTTTATCGCGCGGTTGTACGTTTCCCTCGCTTCAATTTCTCGAACGGAACGCGAAACCCCATGTAAAGTGCACGTCGCCTCGCGATTACCATCGAAACTCATACACGATTTCTCTGTTAGGCTGTATTCCTATCGTTCGATCGGTACAATACGAATCGAGATTCCATGCAATAGATACAGAGAGGAACACGTGTGACGGACATGAATCGTTCGCAGCCGTCGTCAGTCACTTGATTCACCGGTCGAGCTTAGCTTCGCGACAAACTGAACGGAAATCGACCGATACGCGTCGTAATACGCTAATCATTGCAATTAATTAGGACGCTGTTATGAAAACGTTGCTCGCGTTTTGGTTCAGTTTTCAAGCGATATCGATGACCAGGCAAATCGAGAAAAAAGAGAGAGAGTATCTCGGCAAACAAGATGCATAATACAAAAGAAACCGGGACAATACGTGTTTCCGTCGCGAGACAATTTGCTAATTCTTCTGGGTAACTTCCTGGTATGATACATACGCGTAACGTGACAAGCCCGACGAAAGATGAATCAGTTTGGACAGACGAACGACGCGAACGAGAGAACGAAGTGAAATACGTTGTACCACGTACAGTTAATTATTTCTCGTGGGGATTCAGCATCCGCGAACGAAAGTTTATATCGTTTTCATCGATTCGTCTTCACGACGAGCAACCAAACGACAGAAAAGTAGAATCGGATCACCTTGTTCGCCGACTCGTTAAATGCAAGAAAACCAAGGAACTTTGTATGGTATACAATGTTGAGAAACACGCGTTAAACGATAAATGACGTAGACCGCGTGTAGTCCGACAACGGTATCGATTCTCCGAAAGTTCGTTCGTCCACGCGGTTCATCGCACGTTCGACGAACGTTCAGCGTCTTTCGGCGTTTCGATTAGCGTCGAACGTGTTACACATGCGTCTGCGTCTGCGTTGCGGGACTGTACACAAAATGCTCGGCGATTCAAAATACTGCGGCCATATAGAGTAATGTATTTACATAAAGTACACTCATATGTATATCGCGATAAACATGCGTATTCGCGGAAATAAATGTATTCTCGAGCGAACGAGAGAATGATAATGATTGGATGATGGTCCGTCGTTACCGTGTAAAAGAACGAGTTCGCTATCGATGTGAAAATCGGCCGTAACACCAAACGCAAATTCTATATTTTTCCGGTACAAGGAATTTATGCTGGATATCAATAAAAAAAAAAACAAAAAAAAAAGGAAAGAAAAACAAACAAAACAAATGAAGAATGACGGAAAAAAGGTGAAACGAGTAGCCGGTGTTTGCTCGATGTTTCGACGTTGCGTATCGTAATGGCGCAAAACAAAAAAGTAAATTCAACGAAAAGTAGTTCGTATCCGTATGGACGTCGACGGATGGCGACAAACGGTACCGAACGAACATTGAACCGAGAACTTTTGCTCGATTCATGGGGAACTGAGGTTGACTTTGTTAAATGCAAGCAAGCATCATTGTTATCCAACATACTTTCCTGGGATCGTAAGAATATGGTATCACAAAGCGATAACGTTATGTTATATTTTCATCGTAATCCTACTTAATAGTGTTAACAAACAGAAAGTGAGGGAAAGTAGAGGCAGAAAAAATGGAGAGACAAGGAGGGAGGGGGGGGGCAGAGGGAGAATACGCTATGTAGGAAGTCACGGCTGGCCACTCAATCGGGCTTTAATTATGTTGTCAGTAAAGCGGTTGTATATTTTGCCGCTGCTCGATATTTGACGTGCGGCTCGCTCTCATTTCGGCTCGAGGGAAACAAGGCGAGTCTCGACTCTTCACTTAGAAAACCTGTTAATGTACGAATGAATAATGTATATGTGCTCCATTGTCTTTGAAAAATCGATGGTGTTACGTTCTGTTAGTACCATTTTACCACATTTCCTCTATCATACGGAATTCGCGTGCACGATCGCGTGCGTATTCACGACGATGGAAACCGGCGCGGCGTTCACGATGGACTTCTGACGTCGCGATCATTCGGACCGTGAACAATTGAAACGAGTGTGTTGCATTCGGGGCGACGCGGCGCGACATTAGTCGAAGGAGAGTCAAGCGAAAAGAAACGTAAGTCTGATCACGAGTTGCAGAAATCGAGGAAAATATCGTGAGGGAGACAGCTTTCGTTATATACGAGGAGATATTCGAACGAGGCGTAAGATGAACTGGATCCTAGATCGAAAGCGATCGACGACGCGCGCTCGTTCTTACTCCGAGGAAAGGACAAAACGAAGCCCGCGGATACCAACTGCGTACGAATACGTATACGTATAAAAATATAAAGAAGATTGGGTATCCTCTGTAGTATACATACATACGTGTATATTTAGACGAGTGGCTTATAAACGCGCGTTTCTCGTACGTACACGTAGTATAGAGTTGGCAGGTTGAGGCTGGGAAAGGCACGAATTCGAGTAGTATACTGCATACGCGTATCTAATCGCATAAGGCGTTATTTTGTATCTTGTCGCGCGTCAGGATGACACACATTCGTAAATTTGCACCGATGCGATTGCGATCGCAACTCGCGGCTATGAACGCGAGGAGACCGTATTTACCTATACATATGTATAGGTAATCCGAGTATCCGAGGTTGCCGCGAATATTCGGGGATACGGAAGGACCGACCGATTCGATCCGATTGAATTCGATTCGATTCGATTCTCGAGCTTCCACGTCGCCGGTACATGCCACAGAATAACGGAGGCAAATCTCGTTTCTTTTGGTTCTTTTGGTTCTTTCTCCGACGCATCTCGATATCCGTTGATCATCGGGGGCAGGTCCGACAACGCGCACACGATATTCGCCTTCCTTCGAGAGACGGATCGCAAGATTGCGTTAGATGCGCTCGTCGGAACTCGAACGAAGCCAAGCTTAATCGGTTCACGTCCTGTAGCATAGAATAACACACACACACACACCGGTATATAATTAGACCAAGTGTCAAGAATGAAACGATGCACCAATGGCTATGCTGTTGTCAGACCTGTATCAACGATGAGTCCAGTGACCATATCGTGAAAGTGCGCGCGTCGTTGACGCCGAAACGAATATAATACTCTCCCTCCCGTTATTCCGTGGCAGTTGCGTGATCGCGCGCGATCGGCGCGGCGGTTCCAATCGCTTCAAACTCTCGAAGAGTTTTCTTTGTTTTATAAATATATAAGTACGCGTTCGATGGAAATCACGCGTCGCGCGTCGTCGCTCTTTCAATCGTCGTTTTTTCCTCGGCAATATCGACAAGTTCGGCAAGTCCCATATGGATATATGTGTATATAGAATACAGAGTAGGTATACGTGTGTATATAGAGTAGGTAATATAATAGATCTCAAGGATATGCCTCGGCTACGTTCAAGTCAAGTCACAGGGATGCACAATGAGTATGCGAGGTGGCTCAAACTCGGCCAAGCCAGTATCGCTTTCGTCGACGAATTCGAACGGCTTGTTCCGCTGTTGTCTCTCCCCGTTTCTCGAGAACAGGACGAAACGTTCGCCGACAATGGATACGGAACGGGAGTGCGATGCGATGCGATGCGATGCGATGCAATACGATGCGTTGCGATGCGATGCGATGCGATGCGGTGCAGTTGTTTCTGCTCCTCGTTCGAAACGTTCCGGCTAAACGATAGGTTATATGGAAACCCGGTAGAGAGCGAACGATACATGGGACGAGAAACAAGAAAGAAAAATAACACGCGAATGAAACGAAAAAGACGATCGAACGAACGCGTTCCGCTCCAGAATCGAGGATGCGTAATTGTCGCGTAAAAAATATGCATTTGAAAGACCGCTTGAAAAATGTTCCCCGGACAAGCTACGTGTGTTTCGTGGCTTTCACAGATAATGGTCGCTGCTGGCTCATCGGACTGTCGGCCGATCGTGTCGCACAGATTTTAATTTTTCTTTTACAACGTAAGTGTTCACAAAAGTGTGTATAACACGACATATAGAAAACGTATGTCATATGATTATCCAATCTTTTAGAAGTACATAGTCATTGTGCATCCTTAAAACAATAGAATCGTCGTATCGCATGCAAACGACAGGTTCGACTGGTTTAAACGATCTCGGAACGCATATAAACGCAGTCCAAGAAGTCGTTCGTTTTGTCGGATCGATTGATACGCATGCATCGAGGGCCCACTGCAAAAGCTGTCGTGTCGCAAAAGGTCGACGATTCGAACGACCGGTTACGCGATAAAAACTAAACGATCGAATCGATTTTCGAAAAAGTTTTACCTCTCTATACTCGTGATCGTAAGGCGAAGCCGAAAAGGCGAATCGTTTGATTCGCGGAAAACATAGTTGGCTTATGTTTCGGTCGTAAGATGCTACACGAACGTATATTTGCGGACGAACAGTGGTACTTTACAGTGGTACGTGTACTAGCATGCTGTCGAATGTCGAAAAATGACTATTCGAAATACGTCGATTGAACTGAGAAAACTTACCGTTTGGAGAACCTCGAGGATAATTTGGAGAAAAAGGACGGTCTCGCTAGCGGGCTAATTGCATTGGTGTCCTGCGTGTGAGTGTGACCCTGGAAAGTCCATGAAAAGACACACGTATAATATACGATCCTGTATATCAACAACAATAACTAGTAATACTAGTAGTAATAATAATAATAATAATAATAATAACAACAACTAGTAAATAAGTATAATAATACTAATAATAATAGTAATAGTAATAGTAATAATAATAATAATTATAATATATGTATAGTTATTCGTATACAAGATAATCGTCGTAATCGTTGTATGGAATACGACGGATATCATTATACATCGATATTTTGGAGTACTAACCTGACTATAATTTCGCTGAGCTCTATTCTGGCCAGAGTGGAACGTACTACGACTTGGGACATTTCGAGGAAATGCTGGTGTTGTAGGTGTTGCCAGTCTGTTACTTGGAGACACACCCAGGCTAATTGGAAATAGTTTTTCATTCATTATATTAAATTTGTTCGTCGCTATCTTAAATATAGAAAAATAAAGAGAAAAGAAGAAGGAGGGAACAATAGTAACTACGCATGATAATTGCCTTTTCCGTGTAGATTCTCCGATAGAGCATTTGATAGTGCGTGAAATACGGAAGGCCGTTTGCCTTCGTTCCGTACGGAGTTTCGTTAAGGAACCAGCAAGTGTCAAGATGCAAAATAAAAAGAAACTAGGACAGGGAAGAATAAAAAGTGCTGACTGGCCACGCGCGGCAGCGCGTTTATTTTACGAGAGAACGTTTAGAAATGCACAAGCGATGGTAGGCACATATGTATATCTAATAATCTTCTGTACGTGTTACATAGCAAGCGTTCGATGGTTTCGGCTAGGAAAGCAGAATTTTAAATAAATTTCTCTTCGCCGACGAATGTATCGATCGACGGTTAAGTAAAATTCATGTACCGACACAATCCATTTGTTTGCACATGCTCCGCCGACTAAAATCGAGTCAGTCTGCTTTAGCGACGCAAGGTGAGAGACAATGCTGTATGTATCGCTGATCGACGCGATAAACTAGACGATTCACGGATAAGCCCGTACGACGATAAATCGGCAACCTTATCGTCGGGTGTCGTGCAAAAATGAAAAACATACATATGTTTCTACTTAGAACCCATTGATTAGCCTATTCGATACATGGTGTACTACCGTCGTTACCATACCAGTTAGTACAGAAATAGAAAAAAGAAACTAACAGAAGCGATTTGTTACACAGATTGCATTAAATTCTGAATATGTACAATCACTGAACAATGCGCTACGGTTTACATGCGATTACTAAACGATCGCAACTAAATTACGATTAAATTGCTTTGCGTCTAATGTTATGTATAATAGTAAGTTTTATGGTCGTTTTACAAACAAGTCCGATGAAGAATATGAAACTGCTTTCGCGCAGGAAACGCGATTCCAGTTCGAAACTGATGTACGAGAAACAATAGGTATATTTACGTGTTGTAGGAGAAAAAACGAAAGAAAAGAAATAGAACCAAAGCCGATGACGAGAACAAAAAAATTAACGATAGCAATCATGCGAGTTACATACGAAATCAAGAAAAGTTCAATGGAATTACGAATCAGTGACCAGAAACTGTCCTAGAGAACCTACGAGAGCAATTGTTCGCGAAGAAGCTGTCTCCTCGGAAAAGTCGATGTAGATAGATTTTGTCTAGGTATTGCAATCGGTTCGCCGTGACGAACTATTATTTGAAACGCACATGGACGGAATACTCTATTAGTTACCCTAAGAAAGTTTGTGGCCCAAGAGGAAAGTAAAGAAACGTATGAACGGACGAAGAAACAAACTAACGAACGAACGAACGAACGAACGAACGAACGAACGAACGAACGAACGTAAAGAAATATATTCCGTTATATTTCGTGGTGTGGGGTGCTCCAATAGTCTAACGTGGAATTCTAACGCGAACGTGTTTCGCGTTTTGGCGATCCGCGTACAGAAAGGACACGGCGTTATTGTTCTCTTTGCGACGAAGTTTACGGTGTCTCGATGATGGAAACGGGCCAGAAATGCGAAAAATGCGAGAAGGCCAAGGAGGAACGGCGAATCGGAGAAGATGGAAAGGGTGGCGGCGATTTGTTTGAACGTTCCCCGCGGATTACACGTTAGACCGTTGGTACATTTGTTCTAGTGGAGGAATGTACACAGGGTTGGCTGATAAGGCTTAGGGGACCTGTACCTCTGTCTAAGAGGGTCAGCAGTGGCGAGTAGGGAGTTGTGGGCGTTGCGTGGTTGAGGGTCCAGTAGTGAATGGTCGCTGGGGGGTACGCCACTCGAGGATCGGTGACCTGCGCTGATGCTCGCAGACTTGGTGTGACCCCGTGTCGGTCTAGTGCCCTCGCCCATGCTGCGCACAAAACTAGTCAACCTGATTGCCTGATCCGGCCCCGTCGTTTCTACCATTTACATAATACAGCTTCGATCGCTCCCGTCGAACGAAGCGCGATAGTTTCTGAGAGAAGAAACGAAACCACTCGTTCTCGCGACTCGCGATTTTCATCGACCCCGGTAAACCATTTCGTGGACCGACTATAGTCTCTATCTTATGTTACTGGTCATTTAGTTCTCCTTTAGTTTTCATTTAGTTCGCAAGCATCGTTCCACGCTGCTTTCGCGGGTGACCGAGTGCAATCCAACGTAAGAACAGTAGACGAATGGAAACGCGAGCGAAACAGAATTTTCCCCGAAAATCAATACCATAGGAACACGGGGGAGATGTATCGCGGGGAGCCAAGGAAGGTTCGATGTAAACGAAAATACTGTCCTGTACTGCGAACAACTTGAGCTCGCGGATACGCAACGAGTCGAGAGGAACAGAATACGACTAAATGCTAAAATATATGAATGATACATGTATGATGATGTCGATGGTTGTTTCGATACGCGTACGCTTGTAAATCTAGATTTACGTTTGTACAGACAGAGTAGTAAAGTAGTTATGTGAATGTAACTGTGACTCGGTACGAATTTTAGCAAGCAAACTGTATGTGTAAGTATACACGTTCAATTAGACTATCTGTTCGGTTAACATCTGTCAAGCCGTAAAAAAAGTGGTTTGAAACGAACGACTGGCAGGCAGCAGCCAACATGCTAGAGCAACAAAACAAACAAATCAATTCCCCGGGGCTTAACGACAGATTATTCTTCTTGTTATTGCTACGTATAGTCGGATCGTGGTGAAAACAACGTTCGTTTACACTGGTTTAGTATACTTAACGCGCGAACAATCGATCGCCTATGGTTAGTTGGTACAATTAAGATTGTTGTTTAGTCGACAAGAAACTGTAAAGTAACCAATTACGAATCGAACTTTTTTTACCGCGCGTATCGAGTGCAAGAGACGAGGAGCACGATTCGATAGCGTAGACACTGGATCTCGCACGCGTTTATACATTACGAGCAATTATGCCAGCTAGTATAAATCACTACACCACGCACACACGCGCGTATGCACGCACGACAGTTGTATGGCATCGTACTCGTTTCGATCTTGTGGAACCAGTGTCTACGCACGACACGCGACTTCTTCAATTTCTCGTCTCGATGGAATCGAAACGCTTTCTATCGGCATATGCGAAGCAGAGAAATAATTGGATATCACTATACCTGGGTGCATCGTTGGTTCGTTCTGTAGACGAGGAGGACGTTTTCGCTTGATCATAGGAGATGGTGCTACGTCGACCAACAGAACCAGGGGCAGGCGAGGTGAGAGGCCGACCACCACCTGCCCCTGTATTCATCGTGTTGCTTTTGCCTGCCCATCCCCTACCACCGGGACTTGTACCCACGCCTAGAATGAACATTGTCACTGCAAGCCTCATTAGATATAGTTCAACACAAAACAAAGCAGCGTACTTTAAATTATAACACAGGCGATGGCAACGAGACAGTGTCGGAATCGACAAAAAAAAACAAAAAAAAAAACAAAAAAAGGAAACATTTTCGAATCGAACAACGTCTGATCTGCTTCTACAGGACAGCTGGAAAACCACTGGCGGTTTACGTAGTAGTCTCGAATCTAGAGACAAACCATGGGCTCCTCGAAGACACAACGAGTAGTCGCGTGTCACGCGACGAAGGAACGCGAGAAGAAGCAGATACGACGCTGAACGTATACGCGTGTACGATACTAGATAACAAAGGACACTGTGGCTTCGGTTGAACGGGAGTGCGAACGGCGTCATCGCGAAGCTCCGCTCTGGATTCCGACATAACCGACAAACAACGATACACGTCTCGATCCAGGAACGGGCGTTAACGATGTGTGCATGGTACTGCACAGGGACTTCGGGGAGGATCAAGGAACGTACAACCGAATCAACGGCACATCGGAAAAGGAATGTTACACAGTACGGAGAGTCGGATAGATTCAGGGGAGTGGAACACGCAGCAACCTTCTTCAAAGCAGTTACGTATAAATTTGCTAAGCTTTAAAGTACAACGAACGACATTGCAAACGATCGGCTGAGAAAGATCGTGGTAATTGTAACGAAAACTATGGGACATCGAAGAGAACTCACTGGTGTCTAGTTGCCCTGGACTGTTTTTCGGAGCGGAAGGTCGGCTCGCGGAAACACGAGCACTGTTTTCCTTGATTGTAGCTGCGTCCACGGTGTTTTGCCGTTTAAAATTACTACCGCCGCTTCCTCCGGTCACCGTTCCTCCGGTTGTTGCAGTCGAGTGATTATAATTTAACGCGTTTCCTGGAGTCTGCGAACCACCTGTCGAGATAAAGGAACATATAAACACGGTTTCACACCGGACGAACGTACGTACTACTATACAGGGATCGTGTGCATCGCATGACTGCGAGTACGATTATTTTTGTATCGACAATCGTTGTCAGTAGGCAGGACGTTGGCGGCATGGTTCAATGTCGAATCGGCTGAACGGTCGACCGACGAGCACATTTTCGTCCCTTATATAAATATTAGGAACGTTCGGCTCGGATTCGTTGAATCCGTCGTTGTCGTCGTCGTCGTCGCCGCCGTTGTCGTTGTCGTATCGCGAACGGCAGTATCGTAATAGAGAAGACTTATTGGATTCACTTACGAAGCGTTTCAAGACCGGACGAAACCCGTCTACTGGGTTTTGGATTGCTAGCGGAACTACTTCTGTGAACACCCCTGTGCGATGGACTCTGCACGGCACCACCCGTGCCTCCTCCGGTTCCTCCTCCTCCACCACCGCCCGAGCCAGCTTGCGGCGGAATGTTGCGCAGCGACAATGAACTGCCTGACCGCGAACCGTCCGATTCCGGCTGCGAAGCGACACGATTCGATTAGTAATCGGTTCCAGGCCAGCTACACCATGCGTTCTTTTAACGGAACTCGATACAACCCATATCCCGCCCATTTCATTTCGTTTCGTTTTCCTTTTAGTTCGCTACTCACATCGGTGGTCTTCCTTCCCAAGAGTAAGTACGTGGCAAACACGTCATCGTACTTGGCCTGCTCCAACGAGTCTTCTATTTCACTTCTCGTGTATCCCATACTAGCCAGGGCCTCTAAAACAAACAGGCGTAGCGGCATAGTCACAACCACTAAGAGTGTCGGTACAACGAACATCAACGCGACAAATTGAAAGCAAACCGCTTCTCTGCTAGAGATAATTCCTTTTGCTCGCTACTAGTCGATTCGTGATCGAATCGATATACTGAACGGCGCACCGTATGCGTTTGGAAGGTAAACTAAGATTTTAAGAAAAAGCTTTAGTTTAATTCGCTGTGCAGAAAAGTATGTAATCGGAGACATCTTTTGCTAAACAGATTTACGATATACATAGTCTCGTCGAGAGGCTTTCCGTTCACGATTGTTCGTCGACTTTGAACGAAGAAGCAAGAGGTGTCTTCGAGAACTTAAGGGCTCGGAATTCGAGAAATATTCGATTACGACCACCGTAGAGCGAGCGCAGTAACTTTTATATTTATTATTTTCGTACCAAGGCACATTTTGCGTCGCGAAAGTAAGATAACCAAAAAGTCACTCGATTCGTCGGGTGGTCGTAAACGAAACGACTATGCATGATTACATAAAAACAATAAGTAGTAGTAGTAGTAGTAGTAGTAGTAGTAGTAGTAGTAGTAGTAGTAGTAGTAGTAGTAGTAGTAGTAGTAGTAGTAGTAATAGTAATAGTAATAATAGTAGTAGTAGTAAGTAAGTGTTATGTACATACTGGCAGACTCACCTATCCTCTTGTGGTCTTTATAATCGGGCTCGGGTTCTAAGTACGGTTTAAGTTCGTCGTCGTCGTATCCCATGTTCATCCATTTGTCTTTCATTATAGTCTAGAAAGGTACAGAGAGAAAGAGAGAGAGAGAGTAAAGAGGAATGTGAAACGGAGCGATTAAGAGCACGCTCGTGAATCATTTAGGTGGAACGCTTAACGAAACTCGTCGTTACGTACCTCTAAGGAGGCTCGTTTCGTCGGGTTCAGCACCAGAAACTTTTTCAGTAGATTCTCGCAATCGGTAGACATGTAAAACGGAATTCGATATTTTCCTCTCAATACCCTTTCCCTTAATTCTCTTAAAGTCGAGCCGTCGAAGGGTAACGAGCCGGACACCAGGGTATACAATATCACACCCAACGACCAGACATCCACTTCGGGACCGTCGTATTTTTTACCTGTCGACGATGACACAAGAGAAGAAAAAAAAAAGGCGGTTGTCAATGATGCACGATCCGAAACCGAGTAATCTAAAAGACGCGTGTTCACGTACCCTGAAAGAGTTCGGGTGCCGCGTAGGGAGGCGATCCGCAAAAGGTGTCCAACTTGTTGCCAGGTGTGAATTCGTTGCTGAAACCAAAATCGGCGATCTTGATGTTCATTTCGCTGTCGAGCAGCAGATTTTCAGCTTTCAAGTCCCTGTGGATAATCTTTTTTTGGTGGCAGTATTGCACAGCAGACACGATCTGCCTGAACTTTGCTCTGGCCTCTTTTTCCTTCATTCGACCGTGCAACACCAAGTAGTCGAACACCTCGCCACCGCTGGCGTATTCCATAACCAGGTACAGTGTCTTCTCAGTCTCGATCACTTGGAAAAGCTTGACTATGTTCGGATGGTCGAGCATCTTCATTATCCTAACCTCTCGGAATAACTGTAACGAAAATATGGTCGTTTAACGCGTGGCTGTCTAGCATCTTCTCGGGGACACACGATCGTATTCTTACATCATAGGAAACACGGTTCTTTCGGATCGGCTCACCTTTTGAAGGCTGTTGGGATTCAATTGAGTCTTGTCGATAATTTTGATAGCCACCTCTTTCCCGGTGGGCACGTGTTTGGCAAGTTTCACTTTGGCAAAGTTACCCTTGCCAATAGTTTTCAGTAATTTGTACTTGCCGATATGGGGCTCCTCCGATGTCCGACTCCTCGACGAGAGCCGACCGACGCTACTCGACACTCCCACGCCATCCCCTGTCTGCAACGAACAACATCAAAGAAAAGCTTTTAGTGACAGTCGAAGAGTGGACTGCACACAACGACGATACACGAGAAAAATACTTTACGCGGTCGTTGCCGCGTGAAAAACTGTCTGTTCGCGTGGTTAATAATTTACGTTTACGCCAACGTTTACGATCGCGCGATATCATAAATTAAAACCGATTGTTGTTTCTTCGTGATCTCTTTACTGATTGCTCGAAATTAGAAAACTTAAGAAGAACGCGCGACCATACACGACCTTTTCCAGGGACGAACGAACGATCGTCGATGGTATAATTTTATCTATCAGATACGGATCGTTTCGAAGGGATTGATATTACACAATAATCGTGGTGTAATGCGCGACATAAATTCACCGAGAACCCGAAATTTATGCTATTGCTTTCTACATTTTCTTCTTGATCTTGTTGCACCTTGCGAACTTCTCAAGGTCAGGCGATCTCAACGACGCGACCGGAAAGAAACGGAAACAGAAACGAAAGGAATCCTGAAGAACACGAGATTATAACGTTAGACAGACATAGTATTTCTGCGATTCTATTTTACCCGCGCGTGGCCACGAGTGACCATCTTGCAAGAGGTGGCAGCAGCAACTTTCGAGGCCGCCAGCTTGACTGATTCACCGATCGATCTCTTCGATGTCCCGAAAGATAGAGAAATCAGCGGGAAATCGGGAATATGTATCGGCAACGTCAAGGACGCGAGGAGGACGTGTCACTTCGTATGGTGGCGCATCTACACATCGGGAGATGCCGAAGATATACTTTCCGTGGAGACGGTTTGTCTACGCGATGCTAGCCTTAAATACGTAGGTATTTCGCGGCTACGAAGATAATGTTCGATCGCGTATGCTAACCAAATCGAGACGATTCCTTTCTTCGTCTATCGTCCGTTCTAGCCATGTCCGTTCTCGAACGGCATTGAAAATTCCACCGTGATTCGATAACATGTTTACATGAAGTTACGGTACAGATAATTACAGATATTTACAATCCTTTCGCGATAAGCGCGAGGGGCATTCAGGGGAAAAGAAAATCGATGGTTTGTCCTTTGCGGGAAACTCTCGTTTAAATTTCCACGCATTCATCGGATACACGAGTTCGTTGGGTCGACGATTACTATCTAGGGTTGCACGCGTCGAAAACTAGGCGTTGGTTTAGTACAGAACTTTTTTCCGAGACGGTACCGCGACACGTTCCTTTCGAACGGAAACGAAGAGGAGGAACGGCGAATCGAAAGAAAACTGCCTATCGAAAGAGAGACGACCGGACCGTCCCTTTACGCGATTCTTGACGAGTCTCTCCTCCTTTCGTTTGTACGCGTTCTTAGTGAGTTCGTGTGGTTGTCGAAACGAAAATAAAATATTGCATCGTTCACTATGCATCACTGGACACACGCACACACACACACACTGTACGTTGTGTTCGTCTCGACATCGACGGGTGTACGTTAAATTCGTACCCCCGAAACGTCAAGGAACGACACCGGGAAAGAGAGGGGGAGAGAGAGAGAGAGAGAGAGAGAGAGAGAGAGAGAGAGAGAGAGAGAGAGAGAAGCGGAACGATTCGTCGAAAGGGAGCAACCACGGAATCGATTCGCTTTTCGACGAGCGCGACACCCATTCCCCGCGTAGCACACTGGGATTGCGATTCGCGACGACGCGTCACCGTTACGTTTGCCGAACTGTTTAAACGGAACTATTTAAACGATAACTGAAAGACGGTTCGAGGAGCTCGAAGAAATCGATCGACAACTGAAACTGTCACTTCGGAGGCGTGCCGCAGGTGCATCCGACGTCGCTGATTCCGGCTGTTCTTGGTCTGTGGGTTAGGTCGACCGAGAGCCGAGCGAAGCGCATCCTCGTTGTTCGTGCAGGCCAACGAGTCGAGGAACCCGAATCGGAACCGGAATCCAAATGCGTATTCGAATTCGAAAGCGAACCGGAACGCGGTGTGAATCGCGTCGATACCGAACAAAGGAACACCGTAGAGGTTGGTCGTCGTCGCGGCCGTCCGACGACGACCGTGTCCCCGACGAGTCGAGCGAGCCGCCGCGCGAGTCACTCAGAAGAGTCCACACACAGCCGAGGGATGCGAAAGCGGAATCAATACGCGGTCCCACCACCCCCTGCCGCTGTCGCTGGAAACGTGGAAGCGGACCACCCTTGAAACCCTCGCTTCCCGAACCCTCCCTGTCTGCCTGCCTAGCCTGCCTAGTTGCCTGTCTGCTTGCTAGCTTGCTTCCCTGCCTGCTTGTTTGCTTGCATGTTAGCTTGCACGCCTGCTTACCACCTTCCCCGCGAATTACTCCGATGACGCGCCGAGCAACTTATACGCATGCGTTCAATATGTCGAGTAGGAACAGCCATCGTTACGTCGCCTGTATTCTCTCTTGCTCTCTCTACCTATCTTGGCATACCTGTCACCCCCGCAATTCCTCTACTCGTTCGGGGAGAGAATTGCTTACCCCCTTCTGTGCGCGATCGAAATCGAGTTTTCGCCCGGTCAGCTGATTGCATCGAATCACCGATATTCGCCGGCTAGGCGGCACGCGCGCTTCTCCTGCGAACTCGCTGTTATGCATAAAAAGCTGTTACGAGAGGAACCGGTACAAGTTTGACGTGAATTTTCGATAGTCGTGAAATCGATGCGTTTGTCGTTAGATTTCGAGACGATCTTGCATATCGCCTCGCTTTGAGAATTGTTCCATCAGACAGGTAATAAAAACGATTCGGTAGAGAACGACTTTTCCGTTCGTTCGAAACGAAAAACAGCCCGAGGTGGACGTATCGAAGGGTGAGGATTGAAGCGCGTAACGCGGAGGTGGTTAATCGACTTTGTCGCATCCGACATTCGTCGAGCGATATGTATTCGCACGGTGGTACGGGCGGGGAAGCCGTCCGTATTACTTTAGCTCAAACGGATGAGCCACAGACTGCGTATGGTGCGTAGCGTAGAGCGTGGTACGTCAACGGCAACACGAATGTGAACATGAACCGAGCTCGCGGATACGCGTTAACATCGCATTCGATTAGTCTACGAGGGAACAATGCGATCTCGATCAGTCGAACCTACTAAAACTCTTTTGCCAGACGATAAAAATCATGGCAGGTTGGTTATGACTACGATGTTTCGTTAAATTTTGAACCTGTTCTGTATCTGATTGCTTACGTTCCTCGAAGTCGTCCGAGGAACTCACCGCGCGAATTACAAGAGAGAATCGATCTTTTTCTCTTCTCGTTCACTCGTCACCGTCCGTCTTCCACGGAGAACAGTTTCTCGTTTGAAAAGGTTTACCTCGATTTAATCGTCATCCATTCTACGATATCTACCTCCTTTTCGTTTTGACCGGCCTTCCGCATGATGTCTGACAACGGCCTTACAGCACCACGGACCACATTGTTTTGCTGTTGTTGTTGTTGTTGCTGTTGCTGCTGCTGCTGATGGTGTCGTTGATCTTTCTTGGTGACGGTGGGGCGGGCTAATGCACGTGCTTGTTGTACCTTGGTGTGAGCTCGGAGAGGCATTTCCGTTTCCTGCCCTCGTCTAGTATCCGACGCTGTTCTCGATAATTTTGTCGCAGTCTTCTTCACCGTAATCCCAGCGTTTCCCGTTGAATTCCTCGTCGCATCTCCTCGATGCAACGCGGAGGCCCTTTTCGTTTTAATGTATCGTCATCACATTTGTTCTTTTTCCTTCCAACGAGTTTTACGAAATTTCGGTAGAGCGGAAGCGCGCGCGTCATCCTTTATCTTTTACCGTTTCGGAAAGAATGAAAAAAAGAAGAAGAAAAAACCAGACAAACGGAAGAAAACAAAAAGAAAGGAAATGAAAGTTCGAGACAATATTTCAACGCGATTAATTTCGAATTACCGAGTAATCGAAACGACTAAATGAAGTACTTAGAAAGAAGAAAAAAATAAATAAAAAACAGAAAGTAAAACAAGGAAATGAAAGTGAATGAACAGAAGTTTGTCATAGACGTAACAGCGTTTGCGATCGACCGTCGTTTTGTACGTTTGGAGGACTGAAAATTTACCCCTCGGCCTCGTCATCAGTCGTATTTCGAAGCAGATCCTCGTGTTCCCTGTATCGAAGCTGGATTTCCGGCTCGAAATCCGAGCTAGCTTCCAACAGACGCACTCTAGCTGCGAGGGTGTCCATTTCGATGGCCTTGACCTGCAGCTCCAATCTCTGGAGCATGTCCGTACTCTCTGCGGCGGGCGAATTACCTTTCCTTTGCTGCTGCTGCTGCTGCTGTTGCTCCAAGATGAAATCGAGGCTAATGGGAATTTTCGCGTCGTCCGAGGACATTGGAATCGGCTGCACGATCTTGGAATCCTTGAATGCCATCAATTTTTCCTGAAGACTGGTATCCAATGCGAAATTGACCGGAGGAACAATCTTTCCGGCGACGATCGGACCGATTCCAACGGTGACGCCGGGGCTTGTAGAACCGTCGACGTTCCTCGAACGAGGGCTCGGCGAATTCTTTTTTTCCACGACCCTCAGACCGCGATCTCCTTCTACCAATTCCCACTGTTTCAGATTGTCCTGCGCCGAATGAGGAGCAACGAACCTTCCGGACAATCTTGGACTGAACGATTCCTTGTTTTGTCGGGGCGTCGACGATTGCTGACGCTGACTGTTCGCCGCCGCCGTCGCCGTTGTCTTCGCCTCGGTCGTTCCGAGGCTCTTTCGAGCGACTTGCGTTCGAATCGAACTTCTGCTCGGTTGCGTCCGAGAGAACGGGCTCCCCCGATTGTCCATGACCGTGACGATGACACGCTGTTTCCTCGGCGAATGCGGACAGGCCCCGCTTCTACGAGAAGGAAAAACTGCTGCCGGCGACTCCTCCGAGATTTATCCAAGCTTCGCCGGAACGTCGTCAGGAAGCTCTGCGAAAACGTTTCGTTCGCGGTGGACAATTCCTCAACATGGATTCACCGGCCGAGCGGATCGACGACGTTGACGGTGG